TGCAACATGCATTGGCCGGTCAAGTTGAGGTTTCCCATAAATAACCCAGATAAATATTTATTTCTCATTTTTTGCAGCAGAATATTCACATAATTTGAAGCAAGCGTTTCATTTGGCGCAAATAATTTGCGATACAATCGAAAGCGAAAAACGAACAGTCAGAAAGATTACGTAATGAAGGTGTCGGAAGGCTTTCATTTTGACATAATACGCGCACGATATCCTATTTCATTTTTATTATCGATAAATTTTATAGGATTAAATCAACGGATCGTGAACGAGGAATCAATGGACAAGATTTTGCAACTTGAGTTAATTGGAGTATTGCATGCGGTTTCGAGCGGTAAATTATCATTTTCTGTTGGATTAATTTGGCGTTAGACGAAATTTTTGAAGGGGTCAACTCATGCGTTACTTTAATATAGATTATAGCCATCAATTTACACTGGAAATGAAAACTTAAAGCCTCAGTTTGCATGCTCCTTCAGATTGTCGACCTATCTCATTTGTTTATTTAAACCATCATCTTTTATCTAGCATTGTTTCTATCAAATTTCTATTTTAATTTGCTTGCTTCAAATTAGATGGGTTGAATATAGAATGGAAAAAGAAAAAGTCATATATCCATGAATAATTACAATAAATTACCTATATTGCGGGAAAAAGATGAGATTGTAACCGGAACATTCTACGATGGATGTGTACAGCAATAGTGAGGCTAATGATCACTTACGCGGCTGTAGCTTGGAGTAACAGAACTCAAAGATACAAAGACTAGCCTTTGTTTGCACCAACGATGCAATAAGAACCTGTTCTACGGCCGCAATGAAGGTTATCTATCCTAAATTTCATACCTCTACATTTATTAGTAGAAAACTTGGCAAAAAGAGCAATATAAAAAACGGAAAAGAGTAATTGCACGAAAGTCTATTAGCTCCAGGATCGAAGATACTTTGGATATGAACAAAGTGAGAATTTTGTGCAAAACTTCAGAACCACAGAGATGGGATGCACGAAAGATGTTCAAAATTGGTTTCAAAACTTTTAACTCCATCAGTAATTTATTCGAGAGAAACAAAGACAAGCTAGACATCATGGACTAATCTGGTGTATATAAATTAACATGTTCAGAATGCAGATTTTGTGAGGAGGAGGAGGACGAAACTCCCATTAATGTTTTGACTAATTTGTTGCAGCACAGAATCCAATCCCACTATACCAAATCTGCTTAACTTGAAGCCACTCCAACTCCTGAATTTACTTGGGTATATAGGATTGGAAGAGTCGTTATAGACATCAAAACGATTCCCTTTGCTGTCTTACCAACAGAAGAGAGTACAATAGATATTTTAGGTCGCAGTACATTATTCTCAATACTCAACATAACATGACATAGACAAACTATTGCGGCTTGAGTTAATTGTAGTATCATCACATGGGATTTAGAGCGGTAAATTATAATTTTCTGCTAGAACAATTTGGCAATAGATGAAATTTTAATGGAGACAGATTTCAGCTATTAATTTACCTGCAATTAAAAAAAAAACAAAATCCCTATTTTCATGCTTCTTCAGATCTCATTTGTTTATTTATACTATCGTCTTTTTAACTAGCGTTGTTTCCATCAAGTTTATATTTGAGTTTGTTTGCCTCTCCCCTAAAATATTTTACTTTAGTGGTGAAACAAGTGATAAAAATAACAAATGATCCGTTGAAAATTATTTAGTAAAAAATAAAGTTAGATCTAAAACTTCTTTTAGATATTTTTTTTGTAAATATAGTTATCTTTCAAAATTGGACATATTTACTCACAATGTCGCTATACTCCATATTAATTTATCCTGCATTTACCTACGTTTTATAACAGTTAAGTAGTAGGTATAGAGTGCAATGCACGTTACATGATATGGCAGCAAGTATAATATTGTATCTGCCTTCTGATCTTAATCAGTTTTTGACATATGGTCCCTGTCCCCATATTCAGTCATAAAGTCAACATACATTTTCTTCATTGTTAGACTTTTGCTAATCTTTTCTAACTCATCATAAGACATGATTTTAGATGTAAAAGAAGGTTCTTCTTTTTCCTAAAATTTCAATAGTTGCTCTTGGACATCATCACAACTACTGGTTGTTAAATTACATTGTACTTTAGACCCTTTGATATTTTTCACAAATATCTTTATATCCAGTTTCATTATTGACAAATAAAAATCCTATCTGATCTTGTATACCTTAGCGCACGTACAACTACTTTAATTCATATTTCCATAGTTCTTAAACTATTTTATAATGATAACCTAACCTAACCTAAACATATTTAAAACATATTTTAAATCGTAGGTATATTTTTTAACAGATGTAAGTACAGTATATCCATAATCTAATTAGATAATAAATAAGCCATTATTCTATACTTATTCAATAATTTTTTTACATATATAGATTATACAAAAAGAAAATATAAAACAGTATTAAATATTTCTTGTAAATTCCTGTTAATTTTTGAATCTTTCTATATATTTCTGTCTTTGTATCTATATCGTAAATCATAGAAAATAATTAAATAATCATTCTCATTAACAGTAGAAATTGTTCCAATTTTATCAGCACTTGTATTTTTAATTATGATTCTCTGATGGTAATGATTGTAAACTACTGGGGGAATTTACCGATAACCTAAAATCGTTCCGTATGTGCAACAAGGAGCTCTCATAAAACACCTTCTCACATGTGACTGGCGCTACTGCTCATTGTATGCTCATAATTCACCCTCTTCTTTCTCTCTTTACTACAATTTGATGCCCTTGAAAGAAGAGAAAAGTGGCAGTTGGTACGAGGATTTGTTTTGAAATCAAATATTTACCACAAGGTGATTAACTTTTAAATAAATTTGCGTGACTTTAAATTCTCTCTGTATCATATATTAATCATTATATTTTAAAGATCATTTCAATTATATGATTAAAACCTTATCATTTTAAATTAGTTATTAATATGAATATAAGCTTTTTCAATCAGCACATTTTTAGCAATGTGCTTGACAAATATTGTACTTTGTTAATTCAAAATGAATTAGGACGAATCAAGAAAATATAAAATGAGGTAGAAGCTAAAATCATTAAGATGAGTATTTTTTGTTTAAACGCTAATATTAATAAAAAAAAAGAGATAACGCCTACATGTTTGGTAAATAAAACCAAATACTAGTTTTAAATCCACATATTTAATATATTACAAGACATGAGATGACTTTTGTATTCCAAAAACCTTCAGCAGCAATGGAAAAAACTGCCAGTACATGACATTAGGTTTGTTCCAACAACAATCTTGGAACCATACGCAAACCAGTCCACAACTTATTGTCGACGACTTATAGTCGACGACCAGTCCACGACCTGTCGATGATTGAGACTAAATTCGAAACTTGGTTGTGTTGGAACACATGTTTCTGTTGTCAGACACACTATCAATAACGTAAAAGTAGAAAAAATATTAACAGATATTAAATTTTGAATTTGATAAATAAAAAAAATTAAAACTCATTAAAAGACTTATAAATTTTGATTATTCGATTGGTTAGTACGTTAACTTAAGTCAAAATAATAGTTCTTTTCACTTTCTACACTCATTACTCATAACGAATATAATCACGACATTTCCAGAGTTGGTCGTGATTTATTTACGAGCTATCTTTCGTTTTGCGCATGTCTTGACAATTCGTTCATAATCAGATCCAGGAACTGATTTGACAGTACAGAAACTGGTTTGTTATTAGGTTTGAGTATGTTGGAACACTAGGTTTTTGTACAGTTTTCAGTCCGAGGTTTGTTGGAACATCAAATCTAGACTGCGCAGAATCCCGACAGTACGTAAACCGATTTGCTATTGTGTTGGAACAAACCTATTATTGACATGACATTATTGACATAATGTTATAGGTATTATACAATATTTCTACTTTTTATAAATAAGTGTAAAACATTTAAGGGGGTGATCCCTCATCGAAAAAAAGATAGGATCTTTCATATAAAGAAACTTCATTGGAGCATCCCTTGTTAAGATACAGCCTCTTAAAGGGGGTACATAAAATGTGTTTAACAATTTTTTTCACAAGCATTAAACAAGTTACAATATTGAAATTAACCTGACATTTTCTACTACCAAAAAGACACTTAGCCAGTAATTTATTTGGTTTACCCCATGGTTGTAAGGGGTGGAAAACGCAACCCCTAAAATTTCGTTCCAAAGTAACTTTTTGTCTTATCATTTGTTAACCATTTAAAATTTTATTTCCGATAGCCTGTTTCATTCTAAACAAAAAATGTCTCTTGAATTGTTTGCCCAAAATAAACCAGTTCGCAGCAAAAAATTATTTTACGAACAAGATAGATATCGCCATAAAACGAAAATATGAAACTAATTTATCTAGTAGGCCGCTATTAGCGATACTGACAATTACATTGAAATCAAGCTGTCAGTTTGTAAATTTTTGTAACTTGTTTAGTGCTTAATTGTGAAAAAAATTGTTAAACAAATTTTATGTACCCCCTTTAAGGGGCTGTATCTTAACAAGGGATGCTCCAATGAAGTTTCTTTATATGAAAGATCCTATCTTTTTTTCGATGAGGAATCACCCCTTAAATGTTTTACACTTATTTAGTTACACCCTGTATATTACCAGATGATATTTTATTTATACTATCTAATTTTTTTTAATTACTAGGTGCTGTTTTTATGCACTATTAGATATGTATTTTACTAGAGAATATATTAACAAATTATTATAAACTTATATAAATCACTACCTGTATTTTTTCAATCTGATAAGAACTGATGGCAATTGATGTGAAATTTTAGTGTTTGCTACACTCCACAGTTCGTAAATAAATAAAAAAAAAAATCGTACGATCTATTTATGTTTAACCTCACAAAATCCTTTGAATGAAAAGTGTTTGTATATCACCACATAGACATCTGAATTTATAATTTTGTTACAGATAACGAAGTTGAAAATTGACAGCAATCCATTTGCCAAAGGCTTCAGGGATTCATCTAGACTCACCGAATTTGAAAGGTATGCATCTTATTATTAATAAAACATGAATTACTGACAAGCTTTTATGTTGAATAAATCAATTAATAGTCGGTTCTCGGTTCTGGTTGACTGAAGGGCATCGATTTCAGATTATTAAATGAAATTTGTCGAAGATAGCAGGGCCGGAACGAGGTTGAATTTAGAATAATTGAAAAATTAACAGAGGTATCTATACTAAAACCGGAAACTATATCGTTTCTTTCAATTGTTAAACTGAAATTTAAAAAGAAATTTGTATGTGTATTAATGACAAATTACAAAAATATAATGATAATTAGTTGTGCGCACAAGACGAGACGAGATTTTGCCAATCTGAATCTCGTAAAATCTCGAACTCAAAGTCTCGATCTCGACTTTAACAGAATTTCGACTGGGCAATCTCGATCTCGAATCTTGCCGATATCAGTAAAAACTATCCTTTTAAATATGTAGATATGTTAGAAAATCCATCAACATATTAATTTTTGTTAATAATTTATATTAAAAATATAATAATAACTTTGAGGTAAACCAAGAATTGAGACCTATAAGAGACCTGGCCGAATCAACTGTTAACTGGCTTCGATGTTTTCTTACTATGAGGCTTTTAAAAACAGTCTCTCGGATTGGACTGATGGGACCGGAGTACCCAAAAAATCGCGAGCCATTTTTGATAGCGAGGAGTAATTATTTTGATTGTGAAGCCACAACATTAAAATGTCCGCATCCTTGTCAGCCCTTCGAGGAGTACCAGTAGGTGCGATCAAGTTCCTGCCTCGAATTATCAGTGACTTGGGATGACTCTTAGACTGAGCTAAGGCCAATATTGTTACGCAGCACCCTGCACTAGCCTGCGGATATTATAGAAAACGTACAAATAGAAAAGAGGTGGAATGTTACTCATCGCCCTACAGTGTGCTACGGTCGTCATCAGTAAAAGTACAAGTAAAAGAAGATAGAATAGTCCAGAAATGTATGGACAAGTCATTACCCGTCAAGAGTATTCTAGACGACAGTTCGAGAAGTTTCGAGAAGAGTCAAGCAAGCTATATAAGGATGATCCTGATGTCAGTTTTCAGTTTTATGATAGACGTTACATGTTAATGCTATCAGTTGTATAATTGTTGTTAAAGTTGAGTTGAAATAAATTGCGATACCAAAAACCTGTGTAACAATATCATCATCAAATGAACAATTTGATTATGACGATAACGAAGCTGAAGTATTTGCTGCCTGTATATAATATTGCCGCTTGTATATAGCTTTAAATTCTTCAATACTTTTTTCCTCCATCTCTCTGCCCCATGTTGTAGCATTGAAGCTGTCCAGTTTACGCATGTGATCCAAATTTAAACAAACACAATTTATACAATTGGATTTGTATTAATGTTCGAGTATCTTATCTCTTGCAGTCCGGTATGCCTCAAATAATGCATTATTATCTGCACTGTCGCTCAATGTTCACAACTTGTTTTGGTGAATCATATGAGCCAAACGGAAATTAAATAAACGTAAACAAAACGGACAAGATCTTGGCGAATTTTTTCGAGATCTCGGGGAGATTTTTTCGAGATCTCGGCGAGATTTTTTTGATATCTCATTCTCGCTGAGATCTTGAGGATCAGATCTCGACTCTTAATATCGACTTGTTATGCAGATCTTGATCTCGGACCTCGTCTTGAACTCGAGATGAGATCGAGATTTTTTCGTCTCGTGCGCACCACTAATGGCAATAAACATATAGTTTATGTATAGATGACCTGGTTTTAAACTCAAACTCCTAGTTTTGATTTAAAATAAAAATTTGGAGGTCAGAACATTGAGGCCTGCCTGTCAACTCTTGGTTTCTGACCATAAACTTCCGCTCCTACTCCATTTTTATGTCTCTTTTTGTATTGAGGATGTTGTATGAATTTTCTATGTGCTGCCGGTGAATTAGGGACTCTGAGACCATACCGAGTATGTGCTGTTATTACTCTTACTCATTAGCCTCGTTTTGTCGCATTGGCTACCCACCTTCAGTAGTCTATATGGAACTATCCTGGCCTTCCTTTCCAGCAAAATGTGGAGAGCAGTTAGGTCCAGCATGATCTCCATGGCTACCTTCGGTGTGGTTTCATTGCACCAGTGATGGCGAGACACTCAAGCAGCTTTCCAGTCAGCTTTGCTCTGGCCGTCCGTTGAAATCGCTTGTCCCACCATATGACGCAGCAGTTTGGTAAATCCTGTAGATCAGTTGAAAACTGATCCCATATGCTTTGCTCCATATCTATCTGAAGGTTGAGAGAGACAATCTGGCTTTGTTGATAATTTTTTACCTTCTTCACCAAGTGATTTGAATGGGGAGAACAAATTCATGTGATACCTCATAATATAAGTACTAAAACAAACATACTATAATTATGATACACTGATCAATTTAAAATTTAATTTTTTTCGCTTAAACGTCAATATTTACATTGAAACTTATTTTGACAGTGCCTAATTTAGAACTTTGTTTATATTTAGGTGTAGGTTATTTTTTTTTTGAATTCGTCTCAAGCGAATACCAGTAAAAAAAATAATTAGAATAAATTTCACAAACATAAATTACTCAGACTATTAATAAATGAGATCGAATTACTAGAAGAAAAAAATGTTCAAGCAGCTGCTTCTGTTACTTGTACCTGTAACCGCCTCTGGTTAATAATGTCAGTGACTGAGTGAGAGAGCTGTTGGTTTTTGATAAAGCACTATATCAATTTGAATGTTGTATTTATAATTAATATCTGGTATCCATTCTAATTCTTCAAAAATGCGTGTTTATTTTTTCGTTTCTATTTCGAAATACTGGCATATCTATACCAGTTGGTGTATTGATTTTATAACATTTTAATAGTAGTTATTCAAATAATATAATAATATCTAACGCTCGTAACACATTTATATTATGGAGAAAATATTTCTGACATTATTCGAAGTTGCTACTTTTCACATTTAAATGTCAGGTTAGGAAGAATTACACTATTATACACTGGTTCACCGGTATACCATAAATAGTCACTACTGTCTTTGAAAGTTATAACGTTTCTATTTTAGCAGTAATAATTTTTAATAATCTTAACATATTTTAAAATAATACAGCAACATCCCCCCAATTCTTTTGGCACAAAATATTTAAACTATATAATAATGTTGTAATAATTACATTTATTTTAACTTTTATTATTTACCCTAATGAACGGCTAAGTAACTAACAAAATTGTTAACCTAAACCAAATGTAGGAGCCTCTGCAATTCCTTGCTTCGAATTAATTTTTTACCACTAAGTTATCTTTACATGATTGCAGAAAGTCCTAAAATAACTTGCTGTCAAAGATTTTCAGAAATGGTATCGTCTGTCCATCTAAGTATCGTCTGTTTTTCAAAAAAATATTCTAATAAGTCTCCTTAATTATATGTTCATGCCAACGCCTTTTTCCTTTTTCCTATGCCATTTTCATCGAAGTCCTTTTATTGTTCTCACTGAAACTCATTTATCTCAACCTTCTCTTCGTACCTATTCAAGATAAAAATGCAGAAAAACTGATTTTTGAGAACTCTGGGAATAGTTTACGACACACACGAGCCGATTTTTCCAAGACTAATTTGTTTGTACTCTAGTCGCACCACTCAGGTTTAGAGGAGGTTCAACTGAGGCTGGTTTTGACTATTACGTTATCAATATGACGTTTCTAATAGTCAGAACCAGGTTTAGTAGAACTTCCCCTGAACTCGAGGGTTCAACTAGTCCTAAGCTTTCATGAATTTACATATTTTTGAGTAAGAGATTTTCCTCCTTCGAAACTAAGTTTGAGTACCTATAAAGTTTTGTTTAGAATAGGACGTGCTAATAAGAAAGATTGCCTGCTTGTAATTTGCCGAGGTTTTGATGTTTATTTTATTTCTTTATCAAGGCTGAAAGTACATATATATCTAATCAAAAATTAAAACATGTTTTGCCGTTTTACCCTATTAACCAAAGTAGACCCTTAATTTTAAATTTAAAAGATTCCAATTAGAATCCAATATAGTGCACAAAATTGTGAAAGCATTCTAAAAATGTTACAGTGGTATAACAAAACAATATTTAAAACAGAATATATAAACATAAATATGACTGTCGGAGAAAATATTAAAATAAAGAAGAAAAGATCGTATTGCCTTTACATCATTTTAACCAATCTTATGTATTTGACAACGTGAAAATTGTTTTTATATTAAAATCAAGCTATTACAAAAGAACAATTATTATTGCAAGGACTTTGAGTCACTAAATGGACATCAGAAAAGAAAGCAAAATACCAACAACAGACGGACAAACAATTCGAACGATATGGAAGCGAAAACATTAAATGGACACCAAAAGAAAGCAAATTACCAAGAACAGACGGACCAAGAATTCTAACGGGTATCTCCTGATGACTCCGCAGAAGAAATCCTGATTTGGACAGCCATGTTTAACGATGTTGCCTGATACAGTTTTTGAAGTCGATACGGTCACCAAAGCTAAGGAACTGCTGAGTCACCAGCTCTTGCAGTTGACCAACAATTGTTTGAAAAAGGCTCACAGATTTGTAGAATTTTGTACATGCGTGTAGTTGCGATAGTGTCTATAACTTATTAGCTGTAACCAGAAAAGATCGGAAGCCTGCATCTGCCTGAGCAAGAACAGGCTACGTATTATAACAGGGATCCTTACTGGGCATTGCCGACTAAAATGACACCTTAGCCTGAGAGCAGTAGAATATAGTGAGTGCAGATTCTGTGAGGAGGAGGAGGACCATTCACATTTTGACTAAATGTGTAGCGCTCCAGATTCCAAGGGCATATCAAATAGAAGAGGTAGATTTACCTAACTTGAAGCCATTCTAAATCCGACACTTCCTTGAGAAGATAAGATTAGAAGGGTCCTTATAGGTATTGAGATATTTCATTGCTGCATTAGCGACAGAAGGGGGCACAACAGATCTTTTAAGTCGCAGTGTATTAACACCCCATTCCCAACATATCAACTATTAGCTGGGATATATTATAAAAAGATTATCTATAGTCACACTTTCCTGGATGTGAGATTATTCTTGACCAAGAGAACAAGATACTGAGGCACTAATTTCTAGGGCCTTAAAAACAAACTGGTCTCTTGCAAACTCAATAGTAAACAGAACAAAACTTGTGTGGGCGATAAATTCCTTTCAACCATACAAAACAGCTGGACCTGATAGTATAATTCCAGCACTTCCACAAAAGGGCCAGTAAATTTGGGACTGTTGTATCCGAAAGGATGCAGCGGGCACTAAATATCGTCCAAAGATGGTGCCTAAAAGAGGGATTGTCCACAAACCCGACAAAAACCTCTGTTGTTGCATTCACAAGAAAAAGGAACCTTCAAGGAATGAAGGAGCTTTATATGTGGGGACAACATCTAAAAATGGCAAAAGAGGTTAAATATCTTGGAATCACTCTTGATGACAAGCTTAGCTTCTGCAGCCATATAGAAAAAACAACAGAAAAAGCTGTAAGAATACTATGGGCCTGTAGACGGATGATACGGAACGCATGGGGGCTTAAACCAAGTATAATGCACTGGCTTTACACTATTGTTGTAGTACCTGTTATAACTTACTCTATCATCAGTCATATGGTGGCACAAGACTAAAAGCATAACAGCTAACAGAAAATTAGACAGTCTAATAATAACAGGGGTATTTAGAACTACGCCCACAGCAGCAATGGAGCTACTGCTAGGTCTTCCTCCACTGCACCTTGTGGTGGAGAAGGAGGCTATGGTGGCGGCATACAGGCTGTTTACTAATGGATTTGGATAGGGACTTTCATGAAAAGGATATTAGAGAAATTAAAACAAAATCCGGTACTAAGAATGCCATCGATAGAACGCCCATTATTCACGACTTCAGGAAACCTTTTGATATTGAAATACCAGAAAGGGCCAAAAGCCGGGAAAATAGGGAAAAACAAAACGAATCAATCTGGTATGCAGACGATTTGAAAATGAAAAAACAGCACAGGAGCTGGGATCTATCATGTGAACTCAGGGAGGACAATTAGTTTGAACCTGGGGTTACTGACAACAGTCTTCCAGGCTGAAGTAACAGCAATAAATGTCTGCGCCAAAGTCATGCTAAATGACTCTCTTAAAGATAAAAGGATCGTTATCATGACAGACAGTCAGGCAGCCCTTAAAGCACTGAAAAGGGTAGAAGTACAATCTAAATCAATATTTGATTGCCAACAGTTCCTCCAGGCTCTGGCAAAACATAACAAGGTCACCCTTGAATGGATGCCAGGACATGAGGGAGTGTTTGTAAACGAGAAAGCAGACCTCCTAGCAAGGAAGGGAGCGGAAAAATCTCTTATTGGACCAGAACCCACATGTGGTATCTTATACCAACATGTTAAATGGGTGTTAAGGGAACAAATAAAAAGAGAACACCATAGGCTCTAGATGAAACTTCCTGGACTTAGACAGTCCAAAAGATTCATAGAGGGGCCATCCACGAGCAGACAACGCCAACTGCTAAACCTTAGCAGAAGCGAACTCAAGGCCGTAATAGCACTCCTTATGGGACACTGCGGCCTTAGAAGACACCTAAATCTCTTAGGGATATCTGATGACTCCCTATGTAGAATATGTGAAGAGGAGGACGAAACTCCTATTCACATACTATGCCACTGCCGGGAAGTTAAATGGGAACGGGAATGGTACTTCGGGGTACAATATCCGGAACCTAAAGAAATCGCGAAAGACATATTCTTGAATTCATCAAGACAATCAATCTGATGGGATAGAAACTGTGAGGGGTACAATAAGCCTAGAGCTTCAGAACAAGTGGGCGTTGAACCACGCACTAATTCAGATAGATAGATACAGTGTTTAAATAATATATGTGTTTAAGAAAGGGATCTAAATAATGATTTCACAGTTGGATGAATGGATAGATGGATGAAGAGATATCTAAAAAATAAGTACATTTAAATAAATGGTTAATAATAATTAACATTAAATAAATGGCTACTGATAATTAACATTAAAGAAGTGGCTCTAAGAATTGTTAACTAACGCTAAAGAAATGGCTTATAATAATCAGTATTAAGGAACGGCTCTTAGACAGTTTTTCGTAAACCAAAGTCTTAGATATCTAGCTCCTTAGAGGTTCCAGCTACTTTTACAGGACAGGATTACAAACACCAAAAGACAGATGTTTCCCTCGCAAGAGTATTTGCATTGTTTTTGAGACAAAACTAGTTTTTATGCAATGCAATGGGGATTTGAACGCAAGGGTAGATAAACATTTCAATCGAGGAATGGGCATGGGAATCTATGGAGGGAACAATGAACAAAAATGGACTCATGGCCTACTTAAAAACGGACTAAGAACCCTCGATGCTCTCATTTATTAGAAGATTTCTGTTCGGCGAGTATCTGCTAACACCGGTCGATATAAAGTAATCACCCTCTTGACGACGTTGTCGACTATATTAAATCTGTAGGCTGGCTTACGAACTAGGAGGTACCTATCAATTTAAGAGGATGCAAACTGGGTCTAGTGAGGCCTAAGTGCTATTGAAATACTACCTATACTGACTGTGCTATTAAATTAAAAACAATAGCGTATAAATTAACTTGTTTATCCACATACAACAATAACTGTAATATTTTAAACTAATTGTCTTGTACAGTGGTGGCTCGTGGGCAAAAATTGAGGGTTCACAATGAGAGAATATATATCTCAGTACAGATATAGGTAAAAAACTTTTAGTTTTTATAGTACACCTTTCCAAAACACTGAAAGATTTTTTACCTAAAACTGTAGGTACTGAGACCTATATTCTCTTTTTGTGAACTCCCAAATTTTTTTTTCACGAACCTCCGCTGGTCTTGTATTTATATAAATATCTTTAAACTTCTAAGAACGCGAGTTATACAACAGACCAGTTAAAATATTATTTTTTTAGATTAAAATATGAACCTCTCTGTATAATCATCAGTAGGTAAAATATAGTTTTAAAACTGACATATGTATATTAAATATAATCAGTTTAAAATTAAACTCCTGTCAGCTAAACTTAGTTTAAAACATTCTTTGTGCATTAGATTTTAATATGTATCTTTTTTTAAATATTTCGGCAAATTTCTTGTATCCGCACACATGTGTCTATTTTTGAAAAATAATTTAATAAGGCAAGGTTAGTAGTTTTTAATTGTCCTTGTTTTTTGTAATGCAATGTTGGTATCCTACTGACTGTGCCATGTTATCATTGGAACAATTATTTGGAAACTGAATATTTCTTTGTTGCCTTTATGCTCACAAGAAATCTTCGCAAGAAATATATCTAAAAATCTTATAGTCCGAGAAGTATTAGTAATATTTTGGGTATAAATGTATAGCCCAGACGTCAATATGAAATAAAATTAAATACAATTAATACAATTTTGTTAATCCTGTTATATTTCAATTGTTTTAACGAAATAACAAGAACCATGTATCGGGACGGTAGTGTAGGTGTATTCGTTGCTCGCATTCATTTGCGAGCAATTTTCTGGTAAAGAGACACCAGGTTTTGAATCCTGCAGAAGACCATGTGCATTTATTTGCATGGTTCTCTATTTATCCCAAATTTAATTAAAATCACTTCATAAATATAAGAGATATATTAACGTAGATTTAGTAGCATTGCCTACACCTTATAAATATTGACTATTATGAACTATTCTTTATAAGAAATATGTAATTTCAGCCTTGATAAAGATGTAAAATTAACGTCAAAATATCGGCAAATCATAAGGAGGTAATCTTTCTTCTCATACACCTCATACTCAAACAACATATTATTTTTAATTGATTGATTTCGTTGTTCTCTATTTGTCAACATTCAATAATCGTTACCAGTTTTTGTGATTACAGAGAAACGATGGAATCGATGCTAGCGGAACAACATTATTTCCGCTCTCCGCTGCGCCCCTTCGGCGACATGGACACCCATAACAATAACCTTTCCTTGGAAGAAAAGGCAATCCTGGCAGCTCGTTCACAGCTGTTCCTGCGCGCTGCAGCGGCTGCGGGACCATACGGACCTTTGATGGGAGGTATCTACGCGGGCGCAGGTGCCTCGCAAAGCCCACCGGTACCACCGGGAATCCTCTGGAACCAATGGGCGTGCCTCGGTCCTTCACTTCTCGCCGCGCAGCATCAGCATCAGTTGGCTGTAGCTGCTGCGGGAACTTCGCAGCTACAGTCGCCTATCTCGCCGTTGGCCAGACCGCTCGCCCAACATAGGTTTTCTCCTTATACCCCGCCTCAAAGATCGTCGCCTGATACGAGTTTGAGGGACGATAGGGAGTCACCCAATAGCCCTTCGTAAAGATATTTTTTGTGATATCTAGTGTAATTATGCTTTAATAGTACTGCAATATAACCTAGTTTGTCAAGGGTCGAATTGGATTTGATGAAACAAAAGATCTCGCAGTTTCATTATGGTAAAGCGTTTCACAATGACATAATATAGAGATGTAGGTAAAATAAAGTTTCAGTGTTTTAGAAAGGTATATAATATCTAAAAGATCAAAAGTTTTTATTTACATAAAAAACTAAAAATGAAATTTTTAAAAAAATCGCTCTATAAAGGGACGAAGCCTACTGATTTTGAAAAAAAATCTTTTCAAAATGGAGGGTTAAGAGAGTTGAGATTAAAAAAAATCATAATTTAAGAAGCTAAAAAAGATATCAATTTCAAATTTTTAGTAAAAATCAAGCTAGATAAGGGATAATTTAAAAAAAAAACCTGAAAAAACTCACTAACCAAGAGCACCAATAGTACAACAGCTTTATATTCTAGGAGTGCTTAGGAATCAGATTCAGACTGCGATATGGACGATAGTACCATAATTATTCACCCTGATTATAAACAAATGTGGTAAAATGTTTGTCATTGTGTCAATAAAGCAAAACACAACCTATAAAGTTTTTTGGAGTTTAATTTGTTCTAAAGTATGTCGAAATACAAAGGATATAAGTAAATGTTTTAATTTTTGTTTATGAATAAATTTTCTATTTCCACTTTATTTACGATACTTATAAGTAGCATTCCCTAAACAAACCTCTTCCACACAAATTACAAACTTAACTTATTTGCAGATTTTATTGTGACTAGTTAAGTTTAAACTGATTTTACTCGAAATAGTTTAATTGGTACTTATACCCTCTCTATTCTAACCCCTTCAATTCATATTGTATTTACCACACACTTCGAATCAATGTTCTATGCAATTTTCTATAAAATAATAATTTAAAATAATTATTCACCCTGTATAGTCACAAATATCTTAGAGTTAAACCGTAATTTTTAATATTCATGATTATCGCCAAAATTACAACGTTTACAAAAAGTATTTTTGAAAATTATGAGAATTCACTATCAATAATTCAATATCCTATATCTCAAAATCTAGTCATGGATAATTAGGATAATTAGGAACTAAAAATCTGCAAAATATATAAAATTCTGCAGATTCTACCGAATGCCATTTACCATAAGGACATTGCGGGGTCGTTTTTGGATAAAAACTTTATTTTTTAAACTTTCCACTCCTATTAATTTTTAAACATCAGACCCTAAAGGCTGGACTAATAATTTTCTCGTTGTAAAGGTGACAGTTGTGATAGATGGTAGAATTATTTATTTTTGATTTTTCTTTTTTTAAATATGAAATATAATGGAAAAAATCTATGATTTTTATCTTAAAAAAGTCAAAATTATTCAATATTTTAAATTGATACCAAATAAACAAAAATACCGTTGTGTTCAATGAATGGGAAAAAAATCGAGTTGTATAACTTGAGTTTAGGAATAGTTCAACTGAATCTATTTTGAATATGACATTTATCACTGTCAAAACCAGGATCAGCTGAGCTTTCTCCGAACTTGAATCGAAATACCTACCTTTGATATGGATAGTTTAAAAAGCAAATAAACTTTTTTAGTAACTATAAAATTTTCCCAAAAATGTCGCGGTATGTATAGTGAAAAATGTAATATTTTTTTTAGAAAATTTTAAGTTAGGAGTATATTATGAAGTAGAAAGTTTCCCGACACTCTTAGAAAAAGAAAAAAACAGCAAACAAGGCGATACTTAATTATTTTAGCAAAGATTCAAAGATTGGATGTCATAGTTAGATAAAATAATAAATTAAAATTTTTTAAACTTATAGAATTACATTTTTTTTCTAAATTTTATAATACTACAATAATTTGAAGCGTGTATTTCTATCATTTAATAAGTTTATGAAACTGTAAGTCTGTACTTTATACATAGAGTGTCCTAAATCCCAAGTTTTTTTTTTAACAAATGTAAGTACAATTTGTTTTTAGTCAAATTATAATGCATTTTGAAAATACTTTTAGTTTGCTTTTAAATAAAATTCTCTCTTCATTTTTATAGCTTCTCCATTTTATAACAAGTCAAATACTATAAATAATTCTATTTTATAATTTTTTAACACACTTTTTTTAATTTTTGATCAAAAGACTTGACAAAAAAGTTTCGCTGTTCGCAAATCCAAAATTTTGTGTCATAGACATTATAGTTTAGTTAACAAGTGCAAAAATATGAACAAGGTGTCTGTCATTCAATTCGGAATAACGTGTATATGATTTTTAAAAAAATTCAAGAACCGCTTGTAAAAATTGCAAAAGTTATAAACAATTACCTTAAAAAACATAGGGTTTGTTTCATATAACATTTTTTTGTTGTAAATCACGTTTCCTATCTACTGTTTAAATTGTATCCATAAATTTGGGACACCCTTTATATCTAACAAGCTATTAAGAAGAAATGAAAAAATTAAGTAAAAAATGGCTAATATTTTTGAAATCAGCACATCAAAAATATTCTAAATCAGTTCTTACTTATCCGATGCCATTTTGTTTGGTTGTGTTATTGTTGATTATACAGGATGTCCCGAAATTAAACGGTCATATTTTAACAGTCTAATCTACATCCTAAAATAGAAATAAAAGTTTATATAAACATAAGTCCTGATGGCACATTTATGTAAATATTTTCTAAAATTTCTTTAGTCACCGGTTTTCCAAAGTAAAAAAAAAAATAAAATTTCTGATTCCACCGGCCTACTAATTATTAAAATAGCCAAAAAAGGTTGACAGCTGTGTGCACGTAGTTTAGATTCAAAAGAAAAGACTTGTATTTTCGTGCAAAACTTTTTAATTAATAAATGCAAAGCGCTTTCGGCATTGTGCCATCATCAGTGCTTATCTACAAAAATTGTGGATGTCAACTTACAATTTATAAATATGTGTAAAAATAAAATCAAAAGTTAAAAATATATATAAGGTAATTTTGAACAAATTAACAATTAAAAGATAAGAAACAGAGTGACATAACCCAGTGTTGGGAATAGTGAGTGTGGAATAAGCCCCTAAAAAATCATATCTGATCTCCAGAAGCAAGTTAGCTTGTGTATAACTAAGAAATTATAACAACTTCACTATTCGCATTGAGGGACAGTTGAAAACAAGTTAACAAATTAGAATACAATAGTTATTATTAATATGACTCAAATTAGGGTAGGCTAATTTTTGAATTTTCTTGAATTTAATTTTGGTGATTAGAGATTGAATTATGTCCGGGTCATACCCGTTGTTAAATGCAATTTGTTTAAGTATATTTAATTCTTGAAGATAGTTTTATTTAGAGGGATTGATAGAAATCTATGAATATAGTAATAGAAAGCAGACATTTTATGTTTGTGAGGATGATTTGAAGAATAGTCTATCACGTGGTCTGTTTGGGTGGGTTTTCTATATATGCTAAATTCAAATTTGTTACCTTACCTTTGGAACCATGGTACTTTTATGATTCTAATTTTTTTGTTCTCTATTTTGTCTCACTCCAACCATGAGTACGCTTGTTGAGTGATTTGGAATTTTTAAGACTAAACATCAGATTCACCTCTATAGGGACCGCGGGTTCAGTTGTGCCATCTTGAGTTCTCTGAAAAAGTTCTGCAGAGCTCGGGCTGGCTGGCTTGCTGTCTTGACATTAAAAGGATCATTAAAAAGATCAATTCATATTAAACATTTATTTAAATTTAACTAACAAATAAATCAAATTTCGAAAAACTTTCTTTAAATTCAATTCTAACAAATTTTGATTTCCTTTAACCACCTCCAATCACTCGAATCACACTTGAAGGAACATGTTTCACACTGAGGTGAACGCACCTCCTCTCTTGACATTTGACAGGTCAACGTCTTTAAGTGTCGCTTGTCACCATTGTCACATGGAACAGTCGGTTAAACAATATTAATAAAAATTAATGTATCAATTTAAATTTGAAAATATTACTAATAGTAATAATTATGATTTAGCATTGTGAATCTCCAGAAATATTTAATTTTGGAGCGAGGATGACTAAGAACTTGGTGGATATGCTTGTTTGTGGACAGTAGGTAGACTTTTTTACAATTATAATGTAAAAGAAAAAACCTTTAGTTTTTTTTCTTTTGCCTTTTGCGTTTAGCCTTTTTCATACCATTTTCATATTAACTATTGTATTCTAAATTTAAATTTCAATATATTTTTCACAGTCACCCTCTATTTGTAACTTTTTTAAATTTTTAACTAATTTGTTAACTTGTTTTCAACTGTAGTCAATGCGAATAGTGAAGGTGGTATAATTCCTTAGGTCCACACAAGCTAACTTGCTTCTGGAAATCATATATGATTTTTTTGGGGCTTATTCCGCACTCACTATTCCCAACACTGGGTTATGTCACTTTGTTTGTTATCTTTTAATTGTTAATTTGTTCAAAATTACCTTATATATATTTTTAACTTTTGACTTAAAAGTCTTACTCGGATTTTATTTTTACACATATTTATAAATTGTAAGTTTACATCCAAAATTTTTGTAAATAAGCACTGATGATGGCACAATGCCGAAAGCGCTTTGTATTTATTAATTAAAAAGTTTTGAACGAAATAAGTCTTTCCTTCTACTAATTATTGTTTACACTTTCGAATAAGATAACATCAACTTATATCATGAAATTTTCAAATGCTTTTCTCTTGAACATGGTGCGTCCTAGCGAGATAAAACAAAAGTAGTTTTATTATAAAGAAAATATTGTTTTTCCAAAATTTGTAGTTAAAAATGTTAAAAACAGTCAACAATAACCCTAAGCCTCTCCCCTAATTTACCCACCTATGAAGATGATCAAAACTGGCGTTAAGTCCATTAAATAGAGCGCAAAAAGTTTAGCATTTGTACTTAATTTCACTTAGTTATCTTTAAAAGTTTAGAAAATATTTACAAACATGTGTCATCAGGACTTCACTTTTA